GGCTCAAGTAATTAGATTCCTCCTATTCCCATGAAAAGACATGGATTGAGTTCCTTGCTCCCAGCTCTCACCTCTGACCCAGCTGGTGCTGGCTTTTGGGGAATGAACCAACAGAAGGAAGCTTTCTCTTTGCCTCTCAAAAAATAAATAAAAAGTATAAAAGAATCTAGAGATTTGAAATTAGAATATTTCAAAAGCAAAATTAGAATATTTTAAAAGTGAAAAGAACTCTCAAGATAGAATACAAGAATTAAAATGAGAAGTTGACACTATTTGTAGATTTATCATCCATTCACATTTAATTTTAAATATGGATGGTGAAGGGAAGGGGGAGAGGGGAAGAAATTAAAAGATCACAGCACAGATATAGTTACCATAAAAAAAAAAAAGTGTTCCCATCACCACAGAGTAAAGTTTTCTCAGAACAACCATGGTTTATACCTCAAACTCCATGTATCAAGTCTCAATAAATCCATAAAGTTAATTATACAGAGAAAGGAGTATAGCAGTCCCCCCATGTTCATATTTTGCCTTCCATATTCTGTTATTCACAATCCAAAAAAAAATATACGGAAAATTCTAGAAATACATAATTCATACGTTTTATTACAGTATTTTGTTGTATTTGTTGCATTTATCTCTTTGCCTCATTTATAAATTAAACTTTGTATAGATATGAAGGTACAGGAAAAAACCACAGAGCTGTGTATGTAGGGTTCTATACTATACAAGGTTTCCAGCATCTGCAGCACGTCTTCAATGCATCTCCCATGGATAAGAGGGGATCTACTATGAAGTTACGTGCTGCATAATGAGATTTTGGTCAATGAAGGACCATGCATATGAGTGGTTTAAGTTCACTCTATGACATTCACACAATGACAAAATCACCTAATGACACTTTTCTCAGAATGTTCAGCAATGCATGGCTGTCCGTGGACAGATAAATACAATCTCTAAGTATATAGGGAATATGCATTAAATAACAAGAATCTGCCTAAAGAAATAAATCAGCAAAATTACTTCTTCAAAAATTAACAAAAAAGGATCTAATAAAATTTCATGGCTTTAATACAAGTATAGACTTGAACTTGTTTTTTTTTTTTTTCTTTCTTTGGCAGTCTTCAAATTTCTCTAAATCCATATGCTATACTCCAAAATATGGTTAAGTGGAATTAATGAAGTTCTCAATATTAATTTCTTTCCTCTGAAAACAATCTTAAGGCAAATTTTATTTAATAGGGAGCATCTTGCTACCTGAGTAGCAGGCTATATTGCCATATTTTCAAGCGATAAAGTTTCAGGTTAACAAACAGCATAACCCACCTCCATCAGGTTAAAATCCAGGCATGTTCATGGCATGTTGAAGTTTTTCATTTAGTAAAACTGATGCCCCAAAGATCTTTCATATAGGAATACAATACTCAAAACACTAGCACATCCAAAGGAAATATCATTTCCCAAGGCAATATTTATATGACGAGCGGATTATTCTGAAAGGTGTGGATCTATATGACTAATTTATTGTCATTTTATAAAAATTCAAGCACATCCTCAAAAACTGCTGCAGCAGCTAAAGTACACTTAGCTCGTTTCATGTCAACTGGGTGGCTGCTCTGCGTCAGCTAGCCCGGTTCAAATACAGAAGTTTAGGGCCACTGCAGAACTTGTTCCACTACACCGACATCAATTCACACAACTTTCGCCTTACGCCTACTTCAGTTACATTTAGTTAGCAATATATTATACCCTTTTAGTGAGTATTTTAAAAACTTATTTTATCATGTTTCTTAACCAGGGCACTAGTTTAAAATTTTTTTAATTTTCTTTCAAAAATGCACTTTCATTTTAGCTTATATTTTTATCAGAAATGAGCAAGATAGATTTCCCCACAAATTACTGGTCATGCTGCCAAGAACCCGCTTTTAAATTCTAAGTACAATTTCGCTAAGCCCTCTAGCTCCTGCCGTATGTTTGCATACTCTCTTCTTCCAATCTCTGTGACTTTCCTCCTCTACTGCAACTCAATACAGGTAGTGAAGAGTGGCTAACAATGTAATTCCACATGATAGTGCATCCGTGTTTACATCTGGCTCTAATTACATGCTTAGAAGTGATTCGCACAAAGCTGGGAGGGAGCAACATAAAACACAACTATGAGAAATAATTATGCTGCTATTTAAAAAACCATTTCCAATTCAAAGACAAGTTTCTCACCACAGGCTTCAAAGTACTGAAACTGCCAACATAGGGAGGTATGGAATTTCAAAAGTACTGGATGCTAGCAAAAAGGAAGGAAAAAGTAGTAACTATATACTTCACATGCTTTTATATCAGGGTCATCTTAACAAGTGATTGATGCTGTCAATTTATAAGATACTTTAAAGTGCTGCTCCACGCAATGACTGTGAACATCATAACTCTGTGACAAAGTCCTTCGGCTCATAACAAAGTAAGTGAACCACATCTGCCCACTACCCAGCTCTCCGGAGTTAACAGAACACCAAATTAAAGAAATATGCGTCAGGAAATGAAGCATCATGCTTACTCACGGCATCCTGAAATGAGATATTCACACGGGCTTACCTGACGATTCAGGTAAGTCCTACTTATTTTGAGATAAACACTGTAACTACTGCACTACGGTAATGGTATTGGTGCATTTATAGAAACATCCTCAAATATAATTAGAGAAATAAATACTTCTAAAATTCAACCCAATGAAAGTCTTAAAGTTTGCAGTCATGTTAACATAATTTTATGCACATTAGATATAAAAAGACAGCAGCCAGAAACATTAAGCCCGGTGCATTTATTTATTTGCAAAACTTATATAATTTCAATGTAGATAGAGCTGGTGGAAACCAGGGATTCTTTGAACACAAGCACACAACAATTAATGAGTTACAGAGATTTTTTTTTCATTGCATTTTAATCCTCAGCAAACTTAGAAGTGGATGCCATAACTTATAAGTGGCAAACTTAAAATTTATACACTACTACCTGATTCTGAGCTAACAGAGTAAGGATGGGGAGGGCCACCAACCGGAAAAGGACCTGAAAGGGAAAGAAAAAAAATAAAATCCAAAAACCACTAACATCTGAGTTAACATTTATCTACTTTGGCAGCTGACTGTCTACATACTAGTGAATTATGAAAAAGCAATTACACAGTATAACCAACCAATTCATTTCCATTTTCGTTACCATATTAACCATTTACATGTTTAACATCTGAAACAATGAATCTAAAAAGAGGATCCAAAGAAATAGCAAACACACAAAATAAATATGCATGTCATCACATTTTCTACTCTAAAGCTAAGAACATTTTTAAAGAAATCTTTTTTAAGGAGCAATAACCACTCTAAAGCAAGAATGAATTAACAACAATCTCAACTCAAGATTGTAAAAGTTCAAACTTACAAAATGATTGAAATCAAAATATTCTCATTTCTCATCTCAGCAAACTAGAATAATGTTCATGTCTAATTTACCCAGGGCTAGTTTTAAGTAACAATAAGATCCTGACTCAGAATTATCCTGTAGGTTCCAATCAGCACAGAAGGGCGGGGGAGGGGTGGAGAGGGAGGGGAGACAGAGGAGAGACACAGACACTTAGGATCCTGCTACATTAATAATCATTTTTGTTAGCATCCTCTACTGGTGGTTTGCAAAGACAGCAAGGCGGAATGGCGCTAATGACAGAAAGCTATGTACCTGCTATTCCAGGACAAGTCAAGTGAATTAATCAGCATGTGGTCTAGCACGCAATACCTGGGGTGTATCCCCGCCCCCCTCCGAAGCAAGAACAGTAAGAAAAACGCATTACATAGGAAGCGGAGAATGAGAAAAGGCAGATTTTAAAACTGCAGCAAAGCATTCAATTGTAACTGGCAAAAATGAGTCTAAGGAGCTCTGATGTGGCGCCCTTACGGAGGACTCACGTCATCACCATAGGTACCGCACCAGGTCTGATGCTCCCGCCGAACGTGGCTCGGCCGGTCCACCCCTGCCAAGCGATGGCACCTGCTACTGCCCCGTTAACATCGCGGCCCGCAGGCAGATTCCAGAAAGGAGACGGAAATGTTCTGGGCCGTACAATCCGCACCCCTTATTTCAAAATGAATCCAATAATATTCACAAATGAGTAACAAAGTGTCTCCATGGCCATCTCCCACCGTTGGGACCAGCGACCACTCACTGCCTCGTACCAACGACTCAGCAGTTAACATTTTCCCCCCTGAGCAATTCTGTTCAACACACGTCTGCAACTCGAAATATGACCGCATTGCTAAGAATTTTCAAGCGGCACCTAACCCGAAGTCTCACGACACAATGGCCCGTAACTTCATATATATATATATATATACATATTTTTAATTTGCAAAATAACGAGGCTAACATCAAACAGCACGGCTTGGACCCATCGGCGACGAGCGAAACGCATCTGAGAACAAAAAGAGATGGGAGGACAGAGTGAAAAGTGACGAACATGGAAGGTACCTGTGGTGGCACAGCGCTATCTCAGACACCTTTTGTTTTCCCAGCGTCGTGCACACTGCGGACCGGCCGCTGCCCGCTCAGCTCCTCTGCGGATCGGAGCACAAAGGAGAAGCCCCGCCGGCGGGCCGGCGAGCGGGGCGCACGGGTCCCTCCCCCAGCAGACCGGGGACGACGGAGGGCCCGCAGCGCAGCGGAACACCATCTTTTTTTTTTTTTTTTTTTTCTACCTGCACAAGTTGCCATTTGCTGCAGCGGCCCCGGCCTCCTTCTCGCGGCGGCTCCCCGCAGCTCCCCGCAGGGCCTCTCCCACCTCAGTCATCTGTTGATATGCCCACCGCGAGCCTCGGGGAGAAGGGCGGCCGCCCGCTCCGCCCCGCTCAGGTAAACATGTTGACAGCGGCCGCACAGGCGCGCGCCGGCTCAGCCCCGCGTGTCACACACATGTCGTCAGCAGCCGGAGGAGCCCCCACGGCCCGCCGCGCGAACCCACTTACCTCTCATAAAAGCCACCTCCACCGACCGCCGGCGCGCTGCGACAGGAAATTAAGGTCGCCGTCGCCGCCCGGGCTCCCTTCCTGGCGGCGGCAGCTCGCCGCTCCGCGATGACGAACGAACGCCGGCAGCCACCTCGCGGTCCCACCTAGCGCGCAGCCCCCCGACCCACGCCGGCGCGGGCATGCTCCTGCCGGGGGAGGGCCTCCCGCACCTGCCCCTGCGCTGCGCGGGAGACCCCCGCCCCCCGCACACGCACCGCCGACTGCCCACCCGAGCCGCCGCCGGGGACACCGGGCGCGGGGGCGGCGCGCGCGACCTGTCCGCGAGACGCCCATGGCCCCGTGGTGCTGCATTTTTTTTTTTTTTTTAAATCTGGGAGCCACCGCGATCCCAAGGCAGGCGCCTTGGGTCCTCCCCCCCCCACCCCCCTCTCCTGGCTTGGAAGGAAAAAGAAAAAAAATTAATAAGAAAAGCCAACAACTCCTTTTAAAAATAACGCAGGAGCCCGAGCGGCCCCGGCGGGTCCGAGCCGTGCGCGCGTCACTCCTTATATAGCCGCGGCCGCAGCACGGCCGTCGCCGCCCATTCCGAGACAAACAGGTACCCGGCGGGGGCCGCGGGGCCCCGCGCAGACAATACCACGCGGCGGACCCCGCGCCCAGCCGGGGCCGCCGGCGATTTCCAGCGTCTCCCGCAACTGCCACCCGCGCGGGCGGCCGCCGCCACATGCTCCCGGGGGTGCGCGCTGCCCTGGCGCACCGGCACCCATGCATCCACACACACTGCGGCGGGCGGACCCGGGCGTCCGTGGGTCCGCCCGCCCCCTCCCCCGCCGGAGATGCCCCCCCAGCGAGCCCCCCCCCCGCCGGTCTCCGGCTTCCGCGCTCCGTGCGTCCGGCCCAGGTAACAACTCCCGCTCCCCCCCCCCCCAAAAAAAAAAAAAAACCGAAAGAGAAAAAAAAAAATGAAAAAAGCCCCGGGGGCGAACGCACACACAGCCCAGCCGCCCCCACTCCCAAGGCACCCCCCCCCGGGGGTGGGGGGTGGGGGCGGCGTCCCCGGGAGGAGAGGGGGACCCGAGCTGTGTGCGGGGCTCCCCGGTCCCGAAGCCCAGGTAACAACTCCACCAACACGCCCGCCACACACACACACACACACACACACACACACACACAGGGCTCCCCCCGCAGCAAGCAGCTGCCCGGTGCCCCCTCGCCGGCTCCCCCGCACCGTGGGGACCTCCCTCTCGGGGGGCTCCTGCCCCGGAGCTCCAGGCTTCGGGGAGGGGCCCGAACGCGCCGCGGCGAGGAGGGGGCGTTGAGGGACCACCAGCACCCCCCGCCCCAATGCCGCCAGCGCGCCGCTCCCAACTTTACCGCCGCCCGGCCGCGCACCGCCGGCGCCCGCGCACACGCGCGCACGGACGACACGCAGCCCGCGGCCGCCCGTCCCGCCGCCGCCGCCGCCGCCGCCGCCCGCAACGCCCGGCCCGGCCCGGCCCGAGCGCCGGCCGCGGAAGCCGCGCGGCGCGGCCAGCGCCGGGCACAAGTTTGTTGCTCGGCTGCCCCGGGGGGCCCGGGCGCTGGGGGAGCAGGGGCGCCGCGAGGGCTGGGGAGAAGGAGGGGGGAGGCGCCGAGGGGCCGCAGAGTGGGCAGAAAAGTGCGGCGAGAAGCAACAGCCGCTCCCGCCGCGACCCGAAAAGTGGCCGCCCGCCCCGCGCCGGGGATGCGGCGGCGGCGGCGGCGGCGGCGGCTAACGGTCCCGGCGGGCGGCAGGGGCGGCGGGAGCCGCTAGGCGGAGAGAGCCCAGGTAAGAGACATAACGGTTCAGGGCGAGCGGCCGCGGCGCCGCGCCGGCAGCGGAGGGGGGCAGAGAGCACTACTTTCTACTTTCCCACTCCACTTTGCCCGTCCCTGCCCCGGCCGCCCCCGGCCCGGCGCGCCCCCCTCCCCCCCGGGGGCGCCCCCCGGCCGCCCGGCTCCCCCGGACTCCGCCGCTCCCCGGGCCCCTCCGCCGCTCACCGTTATTGCGCCGCGGGTTCGCCTGCTTTCTGCGCTTACACCTGGGGCCATCCGCCATGATCCTCTCGCTTGTGTCTAAATGCTCGAGTCACCTCCTCCCCCTCCCTCCCTCCCCCTTCCCCCCCCACCAACCCCTCCGCCTCCACCCCTCCCCCTCCCCCTCCCCACCGCACCTGGTTTACGACACTCGCGGCTTTACGACATCACCTTCCTTACACCTAGAGGCGCTCGCTCTACGGCCGGAACCTCGTTGCTAGGGACGGGATGGTTTGCGGCCACCGCGGACGCCGTGGAGTTTGAATGCGAGGGGCGAGGGAAAAGAACTTTTCCTCAGGTGTGGTGGGGGGTGGCGGGGGTGCGTGGGGACGGGGCGCGGGCTTGTGTGGGGGGGTGGTCACGAGGGCGACGAGCTGTGTGTGGGAGCGGGAAAGGTAAAAAGTCGGAGGCGCCTTGGCGAGCTGCCGCGCGGCGCTGGCCACACCCGCCGCGGCCGCCCGGGGCAGGCTCGCGTCCCCCCGCGGGACCCCCGCGCCATCCTCGGGGCGCGCTCCGGGTGCGCGGTGGGGGCACGGCCCCGCGCGGCGTGGACCCGCGGCGCCGCCCGGGAGGCTACCTGGGCCGCCGGCCCCCGCGTGGCCCGGGGCGCCGAGTTCCGCTCGCGGGCGCGCCGGGCAGGAAAGCGGGGTGAGGAGGAGCCGCCCCGCGCCGGCCTCACTTCCTCAGGGGCGCCGGGCCGTCACCTGCCGTCCCCTCGCACTCGCCGTGGGCGGCAGCCGCGGGCCGTGGCCGCCCGGCGGGGCCTCGCCGCCGCTGCGCGAGTTCGGGGGTCCCCGAAAGACCCTGGGCACGCGACGCCCCGCCGGGAGGCACCTCCGGCACCCGGGATTCGGAGTTGGCTGACTCTTCCTGCCGCCTGCAGCCGCGCCGGCTTTGTGCGGACCGCGAGGGAGGAGTCGCGCGACCGTGTTAGAAGTAGCGTCCAGCCAGCGTTGTGCTGGGTCGCGTAGTAGGTGTTCAGTTAGTTTGTGCCTAGAATTTGTTGGCCATGCCCACGACAGGAATTTTTTTTTAAATTTTTTTGTTATGTGAAAATTATCTCTTCAGCACCCTCCAGAATTTTAGAAGATTTCATGAATCACTTCTTTAAACCTTGCAGCAGAAATACCCTTAGAGCCAAAGCCTGGTGGCTTAGAATGAGAAAGTTTAATCCTGAATACAGATGAGAACTTTCTCTCCCACGTAAATGCGTTATTTCTTGGTGCGTGCACACGGACTGTAAGTAATTCCCTGCTATGCATTATATCTGTGTAGCTAGGTAGAGCCATCAATGTCAAAGCCGGAGCCCTTATCCTTACGGTTTTAGGGACAGGCAGTCCTCACTGTCCTCGACACCATGTCAGCTGGAAGTGTCCCCTCTGCGCCTGGATCAGTGATAACCACCCCCCCACACACGCCCCTCTTTAAGACCTATGTAGTGTTCTAACGTTGCCTTCCGAATCATGTCACAGACTCCTTTTGCCAATATTTGCCCACTCCCCTCCCCCAACTTTTTTTTTTTTACATTCACCTTGATTCCTAGCCAGAAAATCAAAAGATATTTTATAACTAGCACATGCTTTACCGACCCTTAAATTTCTTACACGTGCCGTTTTCTCTTTCTGGCCTGTGCCTCCCCAAGCAAATTTCTTTCTGTGGTCATCTTCACCTTGAAATCATGGACAAAGTGAGGAGACAAACTGAGTAGAAGTCATTGTCTTTTTTACTTTAGTGATTACTGGTTTAGTTAGTTTGGGCCAGACTTTATTTAACTGCACGGTACCTGTCCAAAGTTTTCAGTAAGTTTTTTTCTTGTTTACTTCTATGTCCTTAGCACCTAGTAGAGTACCTTGCCACGTGGTAGATGCCTTATAGTTCATAAATTTCTGTTCTGAACCTGTTCTTGGCAATAAAATGATTAATGTACCTTTATCACATGAGTTCTTCAGAACAGTTGGGATCGTGAATGTGTCATTCATATCCAGTCTAATTGCTCTTGATTTTAGTTTCTCCATAATCATTTTCCCCAAACGATTAAGTCTATATACTATTTTATATATTTATTTGAAAGGCAGGGTTACATAGAGATGGAGAGACAGATCTATGCTCCATCCACTGGTTCACTCCCCACATGGCCACAACGTCTGAGGCTGGGCCAGGTTGAAGCCAGGAGCTTCATGCTGGGATCGCATGTGGTTGCAGGGCCCTAAAGACTTAGGCTGTCCTCCTCTGCCTCCCCAGGCACACCAGCAGGGAGCTGGACTGGAACTGGACCAACATTTGTATGGGATGTCTGTGTTGCAGGTAATGACTTAACCTGCTGATCCACAGTGCCAGCCCCTTACATATTTTAGAAATAAACACACAAAATGTTGGTTGCCCAAATCTAATACCAAACTTTGATTTTGTAAAATCCTCTGATAACTATACATAACAAATTGAGTATTTGATTCATACACTGTAACATTCTCAAGTGACTGCAGTTTCACCAAGTTCTGCAGTCACTGAGGAAGGAAACATGACTCCAGGGTGATGCAGAACCAACAGTTGTCCTCAGGACCTGTGCCAGCTTTTCCAATAAAGCCTCCCGGGAGGTGACAAAAGGGACAAATGTTTTCTTCATACCTCCGTGTGATTTTATTACATATTGCTCTGCAAAATTGTTTTTCCTTCTCTGGGGAATGAGGCTCCTATTTTTAATAAGTCAATGAAAATGTTAACACATGGAGCAATTTTCCAAGAACATGTCTAATATAGAGAGATGTAAGTGTGAATACATGTAGAGAAAAGTGTTTTCAAAATGTTAATGAACATCCAAGAAATAAAGCTGATACTATTCCTTTCTGTAAAAGTCAGAACAGTTAAAATGGATTCCTTTCAAACTCTGTCTCTAGAGAAGATATAGTTTCTATTATTGATAGTACAAATGAACATGGGTAGTATTTTTTAATATGTTGAACTATAGGTAGATAATTTGCAATCCAGAAAACAGCATGGGTATTTTGGATTTAAGTGAATTTAAAATGTTTACTCATATCAGGGATCTGATATCCGGTTTCCCCTTTGTGTCTGTGTGTTTTTTTCTTTTGGCATCTTGATTTCCTTTAGCAGCTGGCTGGTTCAGTTACAGAGTATGGCTGTTTCTTTGACCTATAGTCCTGGCCTTCTGTAATCCATAGATCCCCAGATGACAATCACCACCACTGTTCCATTCTTGCAGAATATATATTTCAAATATTTTCCCTCAAAAACAGACTTCACATGCTCTGCCATTGTGTTAAACACACTTGAATGATGAGAAATACCTTATGGTTGATTATGTCCACAACACTTCAGATCCCGGGTCAGAACCATCCTTTGTCTTCATACCTTATGCTTCTACCTCTCTGCTCTGTCTTTTTATCTTACTTACATAAATAGATCAAACATTGTGTCCCTGCCACTGTTTATTTTTCAGTCATTCTCTCCCCCTGTCTTTGTCTCAGGTCTGACATGACCATGTTTGGATCATTTTCTTCTTTTCCTCAAGATTTTTGAATCCTTCCAACTATTCAGAATGGTTTGCATCTTCATTTTACGCTTGGGATTCTCCCTTCAAGTCTGTCCTCTGCCTCTCCACACTTGGAGGGGCTGGCCTCTGTGGACCGCATCACCCGCCATCTGTTGCCCTCTGCTTTCTGTTTGGTTTCCAGCAATTTGGAGGTATTGACAAATGATCAAAAGAAGGAGAGATGAGTCAGGATGTTCATTCCATCCTCACTCCTGCTTGCCTTTCGCCACGCTTTCGTTCCTCTACCAAAGTCCTGAGGAGCCTCTCAGGTACTCTGTCCGCTGGTTACAGGTCTTACTAAGTTCTAGACACTGCGTCTTCCTTTGTGCCTCCAGGCCTAGGGCTGGAAGGTTGGACGCTTTATCATTAACTCCTTTAAAACCTGCCCAGGCCTCTGTAAATAGTCTCTTCATTAAACTCCCTTCAGTTGGCCCTTTGAGTATGCCATCTGCTTCCTGCCAGGACACTGAGTAGTATACACAACGGATTTTTTAAAAGTATATTTTAATCTTATTCACCAAAATTCTATTTCTGTTCATTACAGTATGAAAATCTGGGATGTAAATGTGTCATTTGTTGAATATATACTAATGTGTGCAAAATCTGGCAAACATGTTGGCAATTACTGTTGAAGTATTTTTAATCTGTAATTCAATATCTGTGGAATCAAGGATCCTTCTCTAATCTAAAAATCTGCTAGAGGGGTTGGCGCTGTGGTGCAGCAGGAGGTTAACACCCTGGCCTGAAGTGCCAGCATCCCATATTCCGAGACCTGGCTGCTCCACTTCCTATCCACCTCTCTGCTATGGCCTGGGAAAGCAGCAGAAGATGGCCCAAGTCCTTGGGCCCCTGCACCCACATGGGAGACCTAGAAGAAGCTCCTGGCTTTGGATTGGCTTAGCTCCGGCTGTTGCGGCCATCAAGAGAGGGAACCAGCGGATGGAAGACCTCTTTCTGCCTCTCTTCTTTCTGTGTAACTCTGACTTTCAAATAATAAATAAATAAATTAATAAAAACCTGCCTGAAACGATCTCCAATTGATCTAAAAATCTAGGTAAGATTACTTTCGTACTTGAAACAATGAGTGGGGGTGGGGAGGAATCACAGTACTATAGTATTAAGTTAGAGACAGTTCATCTTCAGTGTGTCCCTTCCCCTTTTCATTTACAGAAACATCCATTTCTGTCACAGCCCATTGCAATGATGACCTGTTTCCCTTCTTGCACGTGCCTAGGTATACAGTGCTGCTCAGTTCTGGCCACTGAGATACAAGTTGAAGTGGGGTGTGCCACATTGAGGAAGTTCTTCAGAAGGAGGTGATTCACCATCCTTGCCCTTCTTCCTGCTGGTTGAAATCAGAGCTGCTAGCTAGAGCTCTTAAGGAAGGCAGAGCAGTAAGAGCTTGGGTTCCTGACACTGGAATACCACAGCCAACCCCACACATCCTACTTGGAAATCTGGAATACCACAGCCAACCCCACACATCCTACTTGGAAATCTGTTTATAGAGAGAAACATTTCGTGTAGTATTTTCTATCATGTGGCAAAGTCCTGTTCATGTCGGTATGTATTAGTTTCCCATTGACACTGTAAAACATTACCACAAACTTAGTATATTGAAACAACAAATTACTCATAAGTCTGGAAGTCAGATGTCCAAAGTGAGCCTTATGAGGCTAGCCATTGAGTTTTTGGAGGAAGGGAAGAATTTGCTTCTTCATCTTTTCCGTCTTCTGGAGGCTGCTCCTGTTCCTTGTCTCTCGAGCCTCTTTCTCCACATCCAGAGCCAGCAGCACCCAGCAGAGTCCTGTGTATGTCATCTCCTCATGGTTCCACGTAGGAGGACCCATGAGATTAAATTGGGCCCACCCAGATAGTTCAGGACATCTTGTTTCAAGGTTAGCTGATTAGCTCATTTAATTCCACCTGCGACCTTAATTCCCTTTTGTCGTAGAACCTAACATGTTCAGGCTAAGGACGTGGACGTCGTTGTGGGGGTCACTCTAATGTCTACTAACGCATGCATGTTTTGATCGAGAGGTTTTTCTTAATTTGTTCATTTTTAATTTATATGCAATCCCTGATCTCAAGAAGCTTGCAGGTTTGTGAAACAGTGTGAAGGCTGTGGTGAGCCTGAGAGCTAGCTATACCAGCCCAGAGTCAGGGCAGCTTTCCCTGGAGAAGTCAGGGGAAGAAAGAGAAAAAGAAATATTAAAGCAGAAATCAATGTTTATGTGAAAACCTCAGGATGAAAACATGGTGTCTTCAAAATGCAAGTCCAACAGAACAGAATCATTTAATTAAAGGTGTGCCAGTTTCAGATGAGGCTACAGAGGTGGGCAAGCAAGAGCCAGGTTTTCTGAAGACACAAGATTGGGGATGTTCCATGTAGAGCAACTGGAAGCCATGTTATACAGATTACACAGGTTAACTTTTCTTTCCCGTGAGGGGGAAAGGAAGAGTGAGCAGGACAGTAAGCAGTAAGAACACTTTTGAGCTCCACTACCCCCACCACCACCCCCGGGAATAATCAAGAAGGAGAAATAAGGAAAAGCAGTGGGTCAGGCTATCCAAATGAACACATGCAAAGAATAATGTTTCCGGGGCCAGCATTGTGGCAGAGCAGGTGACCACTGCCTGTGCAGCATCCTGTGTGGTGCTGGTTCATGTCCCAGATCCTCTGCTTCCCATCCAGCTTCCTGCTGATGGTCTGAGGAAAACAGCAGATGATGGCCCTAGTGTTTCAGCCCCTGCCACCCATGTAGGAGGCCTGGATGAAGCACCTGGCTTTTGCCTGGACCAGCCCTGGCTGTTGGGACCATCTGGGGAGTAAGTCAATGGGTAGAACATCTCTGCCTGTTTGTAACTCTGACTTTGAAATAGGTGAATAATTAAAAAAAAAAATAACATTTCCAATTTGGATTAAATAGTGCCATAGTGCTGTTAAAAATTAAGCAATATAGGACAGGCATTTGTCCCACCAGTTAGAACATTAGTAAGGATGCCTGCATCCCACATTGGAGTGGCTCCTGATTCCAGCTTCCTGCGATAAAACTAAGGCAGTTTTCATGCTTCTTTCATAATCTGTAATTTTAATAGAGAATCTGTAAGAATAGCAAGTGCCACAGGATATCTAACTGCGTTGCAAATAGTGTTATTTAGGAAATAGACTTATTGTGGAAACAGTTCCTTAAATACAGCACTGATGAACGCCAGTGCTATTTCTAGACTGTTCACACTCATGCTAGACAAATAAAATGTTCACTTCATCTCTTCTTTCTACCCTTTCTTCAAATCATTCCACATCTTCCTGAAATGAGATTTTCAAGGATAGACATTATCTTTGTCTTTTAGCTTTGAAAAGAAAGGCATTGTGTAAAAATTCAAGTGGATTATTCCCTGTGAAGTAGCAATGATGGCTCAAGCAATTTGGTATCTGTGTCACCTGTGGTAGTTTCTGGCTCCTAGTTTCAACCCAGTTCTGGCTGGCCATTGTGGGGATTCAGGGAGTGAAGCAGTAGAAGACTTGTCTTTTTACCTCTCAAACAAACATACTTTTTGTTTAAACACTAAAGCAAAAGACTACCAAGCAAAGGAGCATATGAAGAGTACCTGGGGGCTGATGGTGTGGCGTAGCAGGTAAAGCCATTGCCTGGAGTGCCGACATCCCATATGGGCTCCATTTCAAGTCCCAGCTGCTCCACTTTGATCCTGTGCTGTGGCGCTCTGTGCTGTGGCCTGGGAAAGCAGAAGATGGCCCACATCCTTGGGCCCCTGCACCCATGTGGGTGATCCGGAAAAATTTCCTTGCTCATGGCTTTGGATCAACACAGCCCTGACCGTTATGGCCATCTGGGAACTGAACCAGTGGATGGAAGACTTCTGTTTCTCTCTCTCTCTGCCTCTCTGTAACTCTGCCTTTCAAATGAATAAATAAAAAAAAAAAAAATACTGGATTCAGTTTCTGGCTCTGGCTCCTTATTCTGACTTGCTGCCGATACAAACACTGGGATGCAGTACTGATGGCTGAAGTGCTTGTGTCCCTGGCAGCCACGTGGGATACCTGGACTGTGTGCCTGGCTTTGGCACCAGCTCAGCCTGGGCTGTTTGTTGTGGGCATTTCGGGAGTGAGCCAGTGAAAGAACACTCTCCCCATCTGTCTCTGCTTCTCAAAATTATATATATATATATATATATATATATATAATTTTGTATAAATAATATTTCCCATGTTTACATTAATGCAGTTGTCACACGATATGTATTTTTGTTGTGGTCTTTCCAGCTCCTAATACTGCTTTATTACATGGTAGTCCATGAAAATTGTATGACATAAGAATACATACAAAAAGGAATCCCCAATGTATCCCTTAATACTTGTCATTTCTTTCACTATTACATTTGTTACTGTACAGCCCAGCACACAAAAACTAACATCTTCCCCATTCAGATTATTCTGAATATACTTCTTTGATTACCTTACATATTTCCAAGAAAGTAGCTTAGTTTTCTTTCTCTGAATTTCAGGTCATCTCAACACCTGTTCAGCTGTATCAGGATTCTTAGGAATTAGACAACCAGCCCCACTAACTAGCAATCCCCTCACATACTCCAGAACCCTTGGTACACACTACTGCTAAGGCAGCTATCACTTATATATTGTTTTTACATCTGCACTCCCCTTCCCCTGGTCTGAGCTCGTGGTCTGTGCATTTCTGATATGGGAAGTGATGCCTGTCTAATGGGAAGTATACTCAGTCATTATGGAAAAGAGGTAAAGTTCCCGCCGTTGCTGAATCATCCCAGCACGGAGGCCTTGTGAGGAGCTAATGGAAGATTGCATGGGAAGTGTTTTATGTGATACCTGGCCCGTGGTAAACCATAAATGAAAAACAGCAGTGGAACATTCTGAGGCAGAGTCTGGTACGAAGGGAATAATCCACTTGAATTTTTACAGTGCTTTTCTTTTCAAGGCTAAAAGACAAAGATAACTTTTATCCCTGAAAATTTCATTTCAGGAAGATGCGGAATTATTTTGAAGGAAAGGGTAAAAAGAGATGATGGAAACATTTTATTTGTTTAGCAGGAGTGTGAATATTGTCTGGAAATAATATTGGCTTTCATCAGTTGTTGTATTTAAGGAACTGCTTCCATATTAAGTCTACTTCCTACCAATGAATAATGCAATATTTGCAGTGCAATTAGATGTCCTGTGGCACTTGCCATTCTTACATAGATTCTCTACTAAAATTACAGACTATGAAAGAAGCATAAAAACTGCCTTAGTTCTGTTTTTCTTAGTTTGTATGTGACCAATTCAAACAGATGCAAGCATGAAGATAGGAATTTGTAGTGCAGATGGAAGGTTGGTGTGTTTTCGTATTTGGTTTTTTTTTTTTTTTTTTTTTTTCTGTAGACCCCTGGAGTAGGAGTGCAGCCCAGTCTCACAAGTGAAGGATTGGGAACACCTTTAGAAATTTGGGTAGTGCCTCTCTTTGTCTTGCCTCTGTCTCTGCATCTCTATCACTGTCTGCCAGGGAATAGTGCTGTGTGTGAAGGAAGGAAGAGTTCCAAGGGGAAAGTTCAGTTTGCATCCACCAAACAAGGTTGTACAGTATAACCCAGTAAAGCTCCTCTCCACATTCCTACCCCCATTTGTGTTACTCGGTACAGACTGTACAGTATAACCCAGTAAATATCTCATCCATACTCCTACCCCCAGCTGTGTTACTCGGCACAGATTGTACAGTATATCCCAGTAAAGGTCTTCTCATCCATACTCCTACCCCCAACTGTGTTACTCAGTACAGATTGTACAGTATAACCCAGTAAATATCTCATCCATACTCCTACCCCCAGCTGTGTTACTAGGTACAGATTGTACAGTATAACCCAGTAAAGGTCTCTCATCCATACCCCTACCCCCAGCTGTGTTACTAGGTACAGATTGTACAGTATAACCCAGTAAAGGTCTTCTCATCCACATTCCTACCCCCAGCTGTGTTACTCGGTACAGATTGTACAGTATAACCCAGTAGCGGTCTTCTCATCCGCATTCCTACCCCTGTTGTGTTACTTGGTAATGATTTTAATACTTTTTTATAGCTATGAATTATAATGACATTTAGTTTTTGCCATATACATGAGAGCAGCATATAGTGTAATAGTCTGCTGGTTTCACTTAACATTATACACATTTTCCTATGTAGATACACAGCCTTTACATTTGTCCTTTTATACGTCACCATATGTCCCTTAAATTGAGATCCTACATATTTACTAAACCAGTTTCATATTGTTGAACATGTATTTAAATTACTTACCTTTGTTGTTGTTCTACAAAGACTAAGGAGTGTTATGATATACTTTTTGTTTATTTTTTATAATGTCTTAGGGAAATATTCTCCAAACTGGAATTACTTCAGTCAGTGGGAAGGAAAATGTTTGTGTGTTTTTAAATATGTGCCCTCTTACTTTTGAAAAGGATTGCTCCAGTGTGTAAATCCACTAGAGGTATCTGACCATTTGTCTCACTGCGATTACACATTTTTCAGAACTGGTAGCTTATTCACAATGACTGGAAACACATGAATTTCTCAGTGTTTGAAAAACAGTGCAGGTATTTGGGGAAACATTTAAAAGGACTAATCAAAAACATATAACTGTGCAACAAACTCCATGCGGGATTAAATCAGTGATCATTCTTACTCTGGAGTGTGAGACCTGGTCAAGCTCTTTCATGTTAAAGTCACCCTGACACACTTAGAAAAATGTTTGCTTTCTAAAGGTTTTTGTAAACAACTCCTTTGGTTTTATGACAAATTTTGTCACTGAAATTATCTACCTAGACTTTGGCCGACATGTTAACTGTCAGATGCAATTTAGTTTAATCACATTTTTCTTTCTAGGTTAATTTGCAAAGTGTTCCTACAGATCATAAAGCATGCCCACAATGAGCCAATTATTCTATTCCTAAATTGATATTGCTTTATATCGTTGCTATAAAGGTTTAGGTAATGGGTAGTTTTACCATGAGTAGCCATATTTCGGTTATAGATAAAGTCATTACCAGCTTAAATCATATGTAAAGCATACATATTTGGAATCAACATGTCAACATGTTTGCTGTTAAAGCTAACAATTTATATTAGTCTAATGTCAAATAATTGTGGAGTTTTATTTGTTTTATATTGAATTGACTGCTATCATTAAATAAGAAATTTTTCTCTATACTTGCTCAGCTTGTTTCCTGAACACCCATTTGATTTTGTGCTTTTGATTGGTAAAGTCACCAATAAATATCTATGTTACTTTTTTAAAAATAATGTCATAAAAACGTGGAAGGTTTTCTGGCAGATATTTTCATTTTCTAAATGGTAAAATTTTTGGTAAGTAAAAATATGAATGTGTAAAACAGCAAATGTTTATTGTAACATAGCAGAAATCGTTAGTAGGTGAAATTGCTCAGATAGTATCTGCTGAAAGATTTTAAATGTTTATTATATGAAAAATAGTTTGAGCTGATCAAATAATAATTATAATTCTTCCCTCTAATTTCCAGTGTCTATGGAAGTCATGGTAAATCAAGAAAATGTAAAGCTTGAATTCTGTTATATATTTTTTCCTTATTATCTAGTTTACTTACATTTTGTTCTGCCCTTGAAAACTTTTTCCAGGCACAAATCAAACCACTGTGATCCTTTTTGGAGGCTAATGTTCATTGCAGAGCACACCCTCGTTTCACTGAAATAGCATGTCACTGTCGCTCCCCTTCCAGAACTGACCTAAAGGCAATCAACCAGACAAAAACATTTGATGCAAAGAATTTGACAACCCATTAGCTAGAAAACTATTCCCTGAATCGTTCAAAATCAATCGAAGCCCTTCCCCCATGTATCAAATTGTTCTGCAGTTCCATTCATTGTTGCACTGTTCCTTTATATAGCCTTGGAAAACAGATCAGTGATGTAGCAACAAAAGACATCATGATATCACACAGGAAACGGGGACTTGGAAGACGCTTTGGACCTCTTAATTTCCAGGCCACTTGATAGCAGATACAGTTCATTACACAAGAAAATTGCTTGATCTTGGGAAAAGAGGGTGCTGGAGGTGAAGGAAAATGAGTTAGTCACCAACACAGTTCACCTTGCAATTCAGTCATTTAGATCTAACTGGAGAATGATTGCTGCCATGTTCCAGATGACAAATGAGAGCTGCTTTTCCCTCAGAAAGGTGGTGAACCATGTGTCTCCTGAGCTTAAATTCTGGGGGGAAAAGGAAGTGAAAACAAAGATCTTCCCCCTACCCACTCTTCATCCCTCCCTACCTTCCCTTTATTTTTCCTGACAAATCCTGTGTTTGACTTCTATTTTACTTGAGCAACCATAAAATCATAACCAGGGCTCTGCCAGGGCAAGATTCCAAAGAATAAAGGAAGTATAAATACTCAGAAAAAATTATAAGCAGAAGTATATTTTTATGAGTATTTTGGTACACGTTTAATATTTCTATTAATGTTCTCACAATTTACAGCATTTTGAATGATATAATTCTTATATACTCCCTCTTCTCTAGGTGGGCAGTTCTGTAAACACTAAAGTTACCCCACTTGGATGCTTCTTTGGCCAGGAAAGTCCTTTCTCTCTCCACCCTTCATCCATTCCCCATTTGCCCTTTCTTCCTCACGGGTTCCCATGGTCACTGACCACCCACCAACTTTTTATCATATTTATTTCATAAATGGTTGTTCCATACATTTTCTCTCATGCTAAATTCTGGCAATTTTGTGATAGGAACTGTGACTCCTGTTATCGTGATGAGCTTATCTGAAAATCCCCATTTTTAGAATAGATATACAGTAGATACTCCCACAGAGAGAAGTTTCTGGAAGTGCTTGGAAGTGGATAGAGATGGAACTCATAACCCAAACCTGACCCAGTAGGGAGCACAAAAGTTGAAAATGTTGCAGCCCTTCCTACATGAGGTATCGGGGATCAACCGTCACACTGCAGTTCCATTGCATGGGGGATCAGTAGATTGTCTGGGTTCTGTGAGCCAAAGAAGAAAGACTGGGGAGGCAGGAGTCTTGGACATGATTCGGCAAAATCCAAAGAGAACGTAACAGAAGTTGATGGATGACTTTATCTAAAACAACCTAAGTTCTGGATTAGAATTGGGTAGCTCTGGAACAGAAAAGGCTCTAGACTGCACAGGAATGTGGAGAGACATGACGATACAACTTAGAGCTCTGGAGACAGAAAAGGTCCAGAACATATCTTCTGGATTAAGTGTCTCTGCTGCGGAAACGAAGAGCAAGGAGATAAGATACCATTACATGGCTGGTAGAATTAAACCACAGCAAAACAAAAAAACTCTTGAAACAAACAAAAATAATGTAGTATATGGAACCAAGAGGTAATGACTACAGCATTTCCTTTAGGTCTAGAGGAAATTGTACACAATTAATTTGTAGAACTCTCAAGGTGTTATACCCTTCAATATGCACATTTTGTATTAGAAGAATTAAGAAGTGGTAGAAATGGGGGTAGGGAGAGGAGAAGTTCTTTAAGGTAAAACTGTATGCTATAGTTGTCCCTGGAAGATATTTAAACAGCAGGGTAACCTCTTTCAAAGAAACGTTTCAGAGGACTGTCTCAAGTTAAAAATGACAACTATAGATGGGGCAGGTGTTCGGCCCAGTAGTTAAGTTACTGCTTGGGACGTCCTCATCCCATATCAAGTGCCAGTGTTCAGGCCTTAGCTCTGCTTTCAGTCCCAGCTTCCTGGTAATGCACACCCCGGAAGGCAGCAGATGACAGCTCAGGGACTTGGGTCCCTGCCACTCGTTCAGAAGACCTAGACTGCGTTCTGGGCTCATGGTGTCAACCTGGCTGAGACCCAGCTGTTTCAGACATTTGGGAGGTGAACCAGTTGATAGAAGATCTATTTCTGTTTCTCGGACTCCTCTGCCTTTCAAAGAAAAAAAAGTAAATAAAAATATATAAATGACTGCATAGTAGGAAGAAATCTGAGAAGTCTCAAAAAGACAACTTAGCCTTTAGCCTTTAAAAAGGAAAAAAAAAAGGATATTTTGTACCACCACTTTAAAAACAGTTTTAGAAGACTCTTCAGAACTAATGTTGATTTCTACAAGAATGAAGGTAGCTCTACACAGAGGCAAACATACAGTGTTGTGATTGAGAATTTTAAAGAGTAAAATGAAATAAAATGCATATTAACTGTACATCTGAGGAAAATGGTTATGAATAGAAGGGGGAACTTGAAAGAATGTAACTATAGATACTGATAATAGAATTTTTTCAGAAAAAAATGCATAGAGAAGAATACCTTTTATCTGGGTGTTGGGGAACCTGAATATTCACATACAGAAGAATAAAATTGGACCATTTCACACCTTATACAAACATCAACTCAAAATGTATTAATGGCTTAAATATTATACCTGAAACTCAAACTACTAGAAGAAAGTGGGGAAAGCTCCTTGGCATTGGTTTGGCCAATGATTTTTTTTGGCTATGACCCCAGAAGCATAGACAACAAAAGGAAAAGTAGATAAATGAGATTGCTTCAAACTAAAAGCTTTGCACAGAAAATGAAAATCAGCAGAGTGAAGAAGCAATTTCTGGAATGAGGAAATATTTACAAACCATAATACAGTAATGAGTTAGTACTCAAAATATATAAATAACATGACTCAATAATAAAACAATCCAATTAAAAATTGGATGGAGGACCCAAGTAGACATTTCTCAAAAGATTACTTACATATGGGCAAAAGATACATTAAAAAAAAGATACAACACCACTAATCACCAGGGAAATACAAATTAAAAGCCGTAATGAGATATCACTTCACAACGATTAGAATATTATTAAAAAGGCAGAAAATGAAAGTATTGACAACGATGTAGAGAAAAAGCAACCATTGTACACTGTTGGTGAGAATGTAAGGCAGTATAGCCATTATGGAAAAACAGTATGGAAGTTCTCAAAAAGTTAAATAGGATGCGCTTACGATCCAGGTATCCCTCTACTGGATATATACCCAAAGGAAGATCAGAATGTTGAAGAGACATCTGCACCCCCATTATCATTGCAGCACTACTCACAATAGCCAAGGTAAGGAAACAGCATAACTGTCCAACAACAGACAATGGACAAAGAAAGTGTGATATATATACACAGTGAAATGCTGGTCAACTTTAGAAAAAAAAAAAAGAACCTGGAGCACATTTTGTTAAGTGAAATAAGGCAGCCATGGAAAGACAAATATCATGCTATCTCATTTTTGTGTAGAATCTAAGAAAGTAGAACTGTTCTCAAACTAGAGGCTGGGGGTGGGGAGTGGAGTGGAGGGATTGGGAAAAGTTGATCAAAGGATATAAAATTTCAGATATAAGTTCAAGAGACCCAGTGCACATCGTGGTGACTAGTTCATACAATGTATTGTACACTTGAAAGCTGCTAAGAGTATATTTTCAGTATTCCTATCACAGAAAAAGAGTTTTTGAAGTAATGCATATGTTAATTACCTTTATTTAAGTCACATATATGCAGTCTGTCAAACGTACACAATTTGATTTGTCAGCATGGGAAGTCGCCCAAGTCATTAACAAAGACCAAAGAACAAAAGAGTTATAATGAAGTAGGAAGATTATTTAAGGGATTCAGGGTGGAACTGACTGTTGGTTTCAGGCACAGGACCTACTGTTCTTTCAGCGTGGGGAAGGTCAATGGGGCAGGTCATTAAAGAGAATATTGCTGGATCGTTTTCAGAAAACTGTACAGAGCCGTGCACCTAATTATAATAAAACTGAGACCAAACATTAAGCCAAAGAGGTCAAAACATGCCATTTAACCTTCTTAAAGCTACCTTGGATCCAAGGGAAACTGCCTAATCTTTTTAAAGAGGAATACTTAAGAAGAATTCATTTGTTCATTCATTTGACAGATATTTATCGATCTGCTTCTGTGTGCCCAGGCACTATTCTAAGTTCTTGGGATATTTTCAAGAAACCAAATAGACAAAAATCCCTGCCTGGCAAAACTTTCATTCTAGTGGGATGAGACAAATACTAAACACCAAATACAATAAGTAGGTAAATTACATAATATTGTAGAAGAGGATTAAGTGCTGTGGAAAAATAGAGCAGGGTCAGAGGGATTGCCGATACACAGAAATCATGATTTTCTCTTGTGAACTGCAGAACATGAGAAATTAAAGTGCTTGGTAGCTTGTTCTCAGAAGGACTCACACGAACATGTCAAGGAGGATGGCAGGCAGCAGAGCCAGGTACGCAGGGGGTGTCCAGTCATTGTTGGACTTCTAACTACCCAGTCATTCATGTTTGGTTCAAGACAGGTGTCACTACAGAAAGTAAGTCATAGAATTTTCATAACAAGTACATAGCTTTTCATGAATGCTATAATAAACAAAATCTGTGATGTCTCCCATTAATTGGATCCCTAACACCTGTTCTTTTTATTTAACTTCCTTTTGTTTTTCATCTTGCTCAATAGTACTTCACTACTGTTTTAAAACAAAGTAGTCGAACATATGTGCAGTTTTTAGTCATAAACATTTACATTTTTTCCCATCAGTGTTAATGATGACATAATTGTATGTTTAGGGAAATAGGGATTGCTTACTTGAGTCCCACTGATGAATATGTTTAGCTCATTTGTCGGAGCAGAGACTGCAGAGTATGAAGGAATTTGCTTCACATCCCTGAGGATAGGTTAGGGACCCTTGGGTTAATGCATTTTTCTCAGCTCTTTTGTCAAACTACACTACTTGCAGTGATGGTCCCACTAGAAGTCATTGTTAATGACGTTGAAGTTCAGGGTCAGATAGTTAATAGGAACTTCTGCCTCCTTTTCTCAACCCTTGAAAGATTACTACAATTAGGAAATCTAAAGTCTTATTATTAAAAGACAACAGGAGGCCAGTGCCACGGCTCACTAGGCTAATCCTCTGCCTTGCGACGCTGGCACGCCGGATTCTGTCCTGGTTGCCCCTCTTCCAGGCCAGCTCTCTGCTGTGGCCAGGGAGTGCAGTGGAGGATGGCCCAAGTACTTGGGCCCTGCACCCCATGGGAGACCAGGAGAAGTACCTGGCTCCTGCCATCGGATCAGCGCAGTGCGCCGGCCGCAGCGCGCTGGCCGTGGTGGCCATTGGAGGGTGAACCAACGGCAAAGGAAGACCTTTCTCTCTGTCTCTCTCTCTCACTGTCCACTCTGCCTGTCAAAAAAAAAAAGACAACAGGAATAGTTTAGCTTTACTAGTCAAACTATCACTTAATCCTCAGGGTCACGTTATGGTGTCAGGAAGATGCCTGAGACCAGAGAGACGTTCCTCTACAGAAGTCACTCATCTGGTAGGGTTAGAGATGGAGGGGACAGTGGATTGGGCTGAGTTGAATACTACACTGTTTTCAGCAGGCAGACGTCTGAGTTATTTCTTACTATTTCTGTGACTTGGTTTTGCAGTGGAAACTGGAAACGTCTTTAATAGGGCTGCCCAAGTGGAGATGCCGTACTGTGTAGTCTGGTACCCCCATTCCTAACTGACCATCTTTCCTCTTGCCCTTCCACGCCTGTTCTCTGCCCCAGCCAGCAGCCCTTCACACCTCATCCTTCCTTTCCTTTGCATCCAGGCGAGGGCCAGGGGACCGAGCTGTTGGGATCTCTAATAAGGGAGGCAACCGGCCAGCGCCGCGGCTCACTAGGCTAATCCTCCGCCTAGCGGCGCCGGCACACCGGGTTCTAGTCCCGGTCAGGGCGCCGGTTTCTGTCCCGGTTGCCCCTCTTCCAGGCCAGCCCTCTGCTGTGGCCAGGGAGTGCAGTGGAGGATGGCCCAGGTGTTTGGGCCCTGCACCCCATGGGAGACCAGGAAAAGCACCTGGCTCCTGGCTCCTGCCATCGGATCAGCGCGGTGCGCCGGCCGCGGCGGCCATTGGAGGGTGAACCAACGGCAAAAGGAAGACCTTTCTCTCTGTCTCTCTCTCTCTCACTGTCCACTCTGCCTGTCAAAAATAAAAAAAAATAAAATAAAATAAAAAAAAAATAAAAAAAAAAAAGAAAAAAGAAGAAAAAAATAAGGGAGGCAACCAAGTGCAGGAGAATTTCAGTTGGCATATTTTTAATATTATGCTCACACAAACTGTACATTTTTAAAGCAATGAAACATCTCATAAAACAGTTCTAAAAACCATGTTTTTAATGTTAAAAACTCAATTTAGATATTGTAAAAATTGATATTTCAGAACCAGTTTTTTTATTACTTTGTAATTTATGAATCAAGCCAAAAATTTTAGAATTCAGATTTATAAAGTATTCCAGTCGCCATATTTGTTACTACAAATGTGGACTTGCTGTAAACTGATGCCCTTTCAACTTGCAAAAGAATGACCTGTTGTATTTTACTTTACAATACAGTGACAAAAAATTACTCTATTTGCAATCTAAGGAGTTTCTTGCTGTTCACAAGTTTTTGAACTTTGCTTTTGCACTCCACTAGGAGACTGGTGAACAAGCTTAATTACATCTCCGTAAGGAGGAGGAAGTCAGCATTATCCAACAGGAGTGCCCCACCTCGCTCTCAGATGAAAATCCACGTATCATTTGTGGAGGGTCTCCAAGCCTTGAAGTAACTCCCCAGGTGAGGATACCAACACCTTCCTTCCAGAGCTGTACAGGTTCTTCCTTATCGCTCAAGTGGCTGACTACTTTTGGATCTGGGGGTTTTCTTCTTAACTGGAAATAAAGCAAGGTGAGCTCTTCTCCCTGAATACTGAATCCCACAGCCTGTCATCCACTCAAGGGCTTTGACCCTCTTTTCTTCTGCATCAGTATTGCCTTATGTAATGCGGCATGCTGTGATATGGTAAAACCCTCTGGTTAGTTCCCAGTCTTCAGATACTCTGCAATAGCTGATCTTCATACTTGGCCTTCTGATCTCCTTGAAGTACTTCCTGGGCTGATCTTTGGAGCATGATATTTGCACGGTTTCCCTAATCGTTTTTAGCTGCTCCTTTTCAGTCTCTCTTTCTTGTCAGGCCTCCCCCTTACCTTTCCCTGTCCTAGTCTAAATATTAAAGCGCCAGGGCTCAGCCCTGTGGATCTTCCCTCTTCTGTCCACGACATTTTCTTGGCTTTAATTCTCACCTTCGTGCCAGTGTCTCCCAAATAAACATCTGCAGTCCGAACCTGATTCATCAGGTCATCAGCCCCAGGCTTCCTTGGCCTCTGCATTTGGATGGTTAGTAGGCACTGCCACTAAGCTGCTGATACCAACCCAGTTCCTAAACCTACCCCTTCTGTAGTCTCAACCTCTGATTTCACACAATTCTTATCCCATCCTGCAAAAGGCTGAGGCCAAAACCTTGGACTTAACCTGGACTCCTCTTTTTCTTAAACTATCTGTTCCATTTTTTTCATTTTTTAGGAAGTTTGTATGCTCTACTCTGAGTGTACACCCAAAATTTGACTGCTTTTCGTGGGTTCCCTTGCCCCCACCTGGGCCCAGCCACCATTGTCACTCACCTGAGATAGTCTCTCCCATTGGGTTTTCCTCTTTCTGCCTCTGTCACTTCAGAATGTTTCAATAAAGCAACCAGAGTTACCTCGTTAAAAGACAATTCGCATGTCACAGACCAAGTGAGACCAAGATCTTTTCTCAAAATCCTCCAATGGCTTCCCTTCTCAATAAACTATATCCAGCGTTTTTGTAACAAGCTTTGAGGTCTGTGTGATCTGCCCACACCCTCACCCTCCAGCCTCCCTCCCCACCCTTCACTCTGTTCTAGCCATGTCAGCCTCTTCAATGTTCCTTGAATATGTCAGCCATGTTGGTAAAACCAAGGTCTCAGATTTCCCAGCCCACTCCTAAATCTAAATAATAAGGACTCTCTGGAAATACTAATCAGAATTTATTCTCATATACAACCACATATGGCCTTAATTTCATTTATGTGTTTATTTGAGAGGTAGAGTTAGAGAGAGAGAGAGAGCTTCCATCTGCTGGTTCACTCTCCAAATGACTGCAGTGGCCAGAGCTGGACCCATCCAAAGCCAGGAGCCAGGAGCTTCTTACGGGTCACCCACGTGGGTACAGGGGCCCAAGTACTTGAGCCATCTTCTACTGCTTTTCCAGGCCATCAGCTGAGACCTGGATTGGAAGAGCAACAGCTGGGACATGAACCGGTGCCCATATGGGATGCCAATGTTGCAGGCAGAGGCTTAGCCTACTAGGCCTCAGTACTAGCCCCATAATATATAATTTTTTATTGTCATTGTTAAAAGGAATTTTAAGCATAATACTTCATTTTGCTGAGACATTTTCTCAAATCCGTTATGAACAATTATGACTAAAAAATCTAAGCAAAAAATTTTTTGGTATCTGATATGTGGAAACTGTGTAATTGTGAGTAAAAGTGTCTAAACACTGTCAAAAATGCTCGTTTAATATCTGTTAAATGTTAGCATCCACTTGAACTTCACAGATGTCAGAACCTACAATAAGGGGATGCAGCCAGTAGTAAAAAAATATATGGGACTACTTCAAAAAATTCATGGAGAGTGAATAATAGGATAAGACTATGTATGCATTTAAAAATGTTCTTCACTTTTTTCCTGTGAACTTCTGAAGTAATATTTATATATGTATAGTAGTATAATATATATGCTATACAAATATAGGTGTATAGTTGGGTGTTTTGCATGTATGCGTGTGTATACATAGAGAACCTGGGGAAAGCCCAAATGATTTTGCAAAAGAGACTATAAAGTGCCTTTGTCCTAATGGGAATATAATATATGACTGTTCAATGGACCTGGAAATGCATGTCTTGACATCATAATATAAATGAATGAATTCATTACTGACAAAATAAACAGTGTAAGATTATCTGATGCAGACAATACATTTGATAGAAAAATCAACATTCATGATTTTAAAAAGGCAAATTATTTTGGAAACTAGTAGTAGAAGGAAATTTACTTAATCTGACAAAGGTTAGCCATTAAACTTTTATTAAAGTGAGTATTTTTGCTGAAATGATGAAAACCTTCTCACTGTGGAGGGCATCTGGCCAAGCAGTTAAGCCACTGCTTGTGACACCTGCTTCCCGTGTCGCCTGGCTTGGGATTCAGGATCCACTCTATTCTAACTTCTTGCTGACTCACACCCTGGGAGGCAGAGGGGATGGCTCAAGTACTTGAGTCCCTGCCAACTTGTTTCCTTGTTTCAGCTACTGCATTTAGATCTTTGATCAGTTTTGAGTTGGTTTTTGTTTAGGGTGAAGCCGTGGCTGCCCCAGGCTTTTGGGAGTGAACCAGTGGATGGGAGATCTCTATCTGTGTCTCTCTACCTTAGAACCAATGAATGAACAAACGAACAAAAGAAAGAAGGAAAAAGAGGAGGGTCGGAGGGAGGGAAAGCAGGAAGAGAAACTTCTCACTACAGTTCAAATGAGAAGATGATGCATGGTATCACCAGGCCCCATCAATATTATAATGAGGTCTTAGCCAGTGCAATAAGGCAAGAAAAAGACATAAAATTAATAAGGATCAGAAAGTAACAAAGTTCATCGTTCACAAATAGTGTGATTGGGTCAAAGAAAATCCAAAAGAATCTCCAGGTAAATTTTTTAAGGTGAATAATAGCAAGTAGCCAGCATGTTAAATACACAAAGTACAGAAGTTCGTTGTGTTTCTCCATACCAACCATAAGCATCATTTAGAAAAAGAATAAAGATATCACTAGGGCTTCAAAGCATCAAATGCCCAGGAATAAGACTAATAAAACGTACACCTCCATACAGAAAACCATACAGCATGTTCAAAAGCACTGAGGCCTTAATAAATATGTGTGCATTGGACGGCACGATATTGTCAGATGTTATTTCTCCCTAAACTCATTGAGTCTAATGTAATGAATATATTCAGACAGACCCAATAAAGATTCCAATAAGTTTCTATGAAAACTGAGAAGCTGATTCTAAAATGTTTATGGAAATAAGAAGGTTTGAGAATAGCTGAGAGTCTTGAAGAAGAAAAGGAATGGTGGAGAAATTCAGGCATCAGATATCACTTATAAAAGTAGTCAAGGGCTTGAATTGACAAAAGGGTTGAGAAACACCAAGGGGCCAGGAAAACAAATTCCAAAAGGACTTTATATGGATTTATGGACTCTTTGTTTTTGACAGTTTGGCATCTTTTAAATAAATGACATTGAGGAAATTGGCTATTAATATGGTAAAAAAAATTAAACCTGACCATACTATATACAAAAATCCATTACAAGCAGAGAAATGTAAAAGATTAAATCTTCCAGAAAATAGAAGATTATGTTTATGGCCTTAGGGTAGACAAAAGTTTCTTAGAAAACAACACAAACACTGCCTAAAAATAAAAAGATTGGTAGATCGGACTACGTTAGAATTATGATTTCCTATCACTCAAAGACATCAAGAGAGTAGAATCTAAATCCACAGAATAAAAGGCAATTTTTGCAACCTGTGTTCGTGTAACCAACAAAGAACCAATATGCAAAATATGGGAGAACACCTACAGATCCATAAGAAATAGACAGCCAAGTAGAAAAGTAGGCAGAAGACTTGAACAGACACTCCACAAAGCAGGCCATCCCCATATGCCATGTGGCAAGATTCCATCCTTACTCCTCAGGGAGATGGGAAAACAAAACCAGAGAGAGGGAGAGTGACAGAGAGCGAGAGCGAGAGAGAACTTCAGATCCACCAGAATGGATAAAGTAGGAACACCCAACAGTCTAGAAAGGATGTGGAGCAATGGGCACTCCGATTTTGTGGAGGAAAAAAATGTAACCTGGTACTGGTGGTTGAGAAAACTGCTTTATTTTATTACACTAAAGCCGAACAGACATCTTACACTAACCAAGTCATTCCACTCCTGGAAGGAAGCTGCACGCGTGTGTTCGCAGGAACCAAAAAGCATGGGCGCACATGTTCACAGTGGCATCTATGTATGTAGAAGTGTAAAATGCCCATTCAACGAACGCTCAAGAATAGCTGAAATTAACATAGCCATAAAGAGCAGGAGGAGAGAGGGGTTAAATATGAGGAAACAAGAGGAGGGTTTGGGGGTGGTTATAAAGGTATTCACTTTGTGATAATTCAATGAACTACGCATTTGTGATTTACTGGTTAGTGCTCATAATTTTGTAAAAAGAGTGTTTCTAATCCTCATTGCAGTATAGGAAACTAATTTTTAGATGCCATTTTTGCCCATTTTGTCAGTTTATTTCTGTTACAATATGATATGATTGTTGGATAAAGAATTGTACAAACCAGTAAATGCAGACGAACCTCAGGAAGTCATACTCTTAGCCCTAAAATGCTGGATACTTTACTGGATACTTTGAGTTAGCAAGCTTTGGAACAAAAAGTTTTAAGATAAACTTTGTCAAGTAAATGCTTTTTAAAATAATATTTTAATTCACATGAATACATTTTTCTATGGTCTATGAATTAGTGCATGCCAATATTTTTCACTATTAGTAAATATGTATCATCTTTTTTGAAATGATAATCTACCACCTGCAACACTGCCATACATATGGGCACCAGGTCAATTCCCAGCTGCTCCACTTCTGATCCAGCTCCCTGCTAATATGCCTGG